AAAAACTGAAATTGCGCCTATGGAACACTTATATATATGCAATATGCATACATGTAGGTTAGAATAAAAATTAAAAATATTTGTTTATAATTGTATAAAACAATGTATAGTAATATACTAATATGTTTTTATTATATTACTTAATTACTYATAAGATAAAATCTCATSATATGTTAACATATCTGGTTAGTCATTGGAGGGAGACCTCCCTGGTCCTCCTTAAATCCTCGACTACCACATATTTATAAAAAGATATCTACAGCGTCCAGTGAATAAAAACACTAGTACCTATTGCTTAACGTCTAGCGACTTATTAAATTATAGATGACATAATAGAGTTAGAGTTTATAAAGATACTTTTAAGATTGGAACTTATGAACAACACGATTAGCAGGAAGGTATAAATAAAACATAATATTTGTGTCACTCAATTATTATGATTTAAAAATGAAATAATTTATTAAATAGTCTCAAGAGTTGTAGTACAGAAGTGATATGACCTAAATGAATTCAAAAGTCACAAAAAAGACATATACAATGCATACATATGTAATATGACAACTAGAAGAAATAGGTTATAAACTTTGCTTTGAAAAAAATATATACGTTTAACAACAAATAATAATCTAGGTCTACAATTGTAGCCGAATAGTGAGATAACATACATAGATACATTTTAAATAATGTAAACTACGAAAAAAACCAAATGGTATAACAACTTATACGACAAGATCGAGTATCTAAATAATTTATGAACATCATTAAAAATGAACATATTATAACAAGTAATATTGAAAAAAAAAATACACATTGATGTCAGTCTGTACACTCTATGTGGTAAAATATATCTAATAAAATAAATAAAATAAGTGAAATATGAAATAATAAGTAATAACAAATTTAATAAATTAAAATTTAAGTTTGGACATTTTATAGTTCATACAATAATTAATTTATATTTTTGTTAATGGGTTTAAATGTTACATTGTTTCAATAATTATTTCAAAAATATTTTCAAACGTATTTTCATAAATATAATGTATTTATATTGAATGTTGAATTTATTTAGAAGTTTACCATCTTCAGTTATATGTTATATCAGTTTATATCTGTTAATTAATTAATACCCTTTCCACTCAACTTATCAACTCAAATTTTAAGTTAATTTATTAATTTTTATGCACGCCATAACAACTTATACTTAGGTTTACATTTTTAACTCTGATTTATGAAATATTGAAATTTCTGATGATAGTAAAAAAAAAATTAAGTACTATAATATTCTGATTCTCGTGAAATAGAGTATAATACGATATTGAAAAATACAACAAGTTAAAAAAAGTGTTTACAATACATTTGGGTGAATACAAAAAATAGTAAAAAAAAAATTAAGTACTATAATATTCTGATTCTCGTGAAATAGAGTATAATACGATATTGAAAAATACAACAAGTTAAAAAAAGTGTTTACAATATATTCATTATTCATAAATAGTTTTAAAATACGTTCAAAATTATTTTTTCTTAGAAAAATGATTTTAGATAATAAACATTATAGTTTGAATTCCATTTCAATAGTTTTAAAAATAAAATGTAGTTGAATTTCTATATTTTATAAAATTAATGTAATATTTTAGATTTATAATTGTTTTAAACTTGTATCATTTTAGTAGTTTGCACAGATAATTAATGTATGGATTAATAAGATTTGATAGCCTCGAAATATGAGGGTTTTGGACGCAAAATTCGTTAGGTATTATATAATTTTAATACAATATTATAAGATGATAAAATGTCGATTTTTTAAAAAGTTTCTTTTATAATATAACACATATAAACAAATATATTAATTTTATATAAACTAATATAAATAGTTTCAAAAAATACATCAATAAAAAAAATAGGTACACGCCTAACTGTAAACGTACCCAGTAATAAATTACTATAATACAAATATACGTACATAATATATTTTATAWTTKATATTATTATAGTTATTAATAAGTTATATTTTAAATTAATGAATTTTAAAGCTACAAGTCTCATTTATCTTAAATAACAGATACGATGGGCCCTTCAATGATAAAATTGCCCGGTTTCTGAACCAATAAAAAGATAGAGAATGTGTGTATTATAATAAATTATATTTAATAAATATCACAGAGTCATATGACCCAAAAATAGGCCTACCCTAATACTTATTGCCTATTCGTTGATCCCAAAATCATGAAATATGTCAAAAGTATAGTTGTGAATACATGAAAGTTAGATTAGTGAAATTAAAATGAACCTCACCCCTATATGTTATGTTTTATATACAATAGGTGTTTAACGTTCAGTAATTCATTAGCTGGTGTATTATCTACAATACGAAATGAGAGAAAATATTTTTGAAAAATCAAATATTATTGCTATAATATCTACTCATATCTATAAGTGTTAGAGTATGTTTATAACAATAAATATAAACCACGTAATAATGCAATATTATACTATAATCTGTACATGATCATTATAAAATGTTTGATGTGACGAGTGAAAAAGTGGTGACCGGTAGTATCCTGAAAAACAACTAATAATGTTATATGTGAACAGGTCGTTCCTAACTAACATATAATAGGCCATTGTAACTGCTAAAAATTGCAACGGTAACTACTAAATTACGTTAACAAATTTTATAAAATTAGTTAGCAGTTTCAAACAGTGATTAATCGATGATGAGATCGTTTCGAAATACTACTTAAACCAACGGAAACGGTGTATCTTATATTTGTGGTRTACTGGTATACCTACCAACTATATTTTATTCAAACGTCTGTTTAGCCGCGGTTGCAGTGTTCCGTGTTTGTCTGGCGGAATGGTATTTTTTTCTCATTAAAAAGTAAATTCATTGCATTATATAATGGTGTCACTGGCCGCTAGTCGATTGTCAGCGAATCGAAGGACGATTCTGATAATAATAATCATAGTAATAAGGACCCCTGATATTGGTTTTCCCTCCGAGTYCAGCGATATCTATTCGGTGGTACACAATTTCCCATTTTATACACATATAGTATATAATTCAAGTGCAGCGAATGCAAATAACAATACGTGTTTTAATTTAGCACCAAATCAGGGAACGATAACCCTGATAGTTAAATATAATACAATATAAAAAACAAAAAACAAATGTTAACATAATTTATAAATAGTACGTTAAGTACCTATTCGTACTTTACATTGTAAATCGATTGAAAATAACAATATGCCTCGGTACTCTCTCAGATAAGAGAAGGAGTGAAAGAGGAGAGAATAAGAAAGAGAGAGTGTGTCCGAGAGAGATAKAGAGAGATGAGAGCATAAACTGTTTTATTAAGCGGCTTGCTGACCGAACGGCCAGTACCACATCAACATCGTCCATCAACTGCGCCTACTGGTCAAGTCAACCAGCAAGTATGTGAACAGCGGCAGTTGTTTCAATGCTTTTACCTGGTACTCGAGGTTGTTAAGTCCGTCAGTTTTGAAACGTTTCCGGCCGCTGTACAACTTTTCGTACCTGTTTGACAAGCGTAAATCATAAACGACATAAACACACGCTGTTGTTATKGTACWATTGTTAATGTTTTTACTATTATTATTATTATTACATTACGGTTATCATCATCATAAAGACTGTAAATGAAACCTACTCGGGCACGTGGTTAATGTACCCTGACTATTGTTATTACACCATCCCTGGAGACGCATGTAGATTATAATATTAGTACACATTACACAGAGTGAATAGTGATTACATTAACGCAAACCACTGTTTAGTCGTTGACTGTTTTTCAGGGTTTTTTTTTCATAATTATTTTAATTTTCATCCTTAAATCATAATACCATTTKTAATAGAAAACAGTTTATCGATTTATCCGGAAAAAGATAAATTCAATATTCTTAGCTATCGCCTTAGATCATATACTAGTATATATATATATATATATATATAGTATATGATCTAAGGCTATCGCCCAATTTCGCTTATAAGTACCCTCAGTAAAGTACTCGAAAAAATTATAAATAAACGCTTAGTGTGGTTTCTTGAAACTAACAAAAAATTCACAAAACAATAATGTGGCTTCCGCAAAAATCATTCAACTCAAGATTTCTTAGCTACACTCCACACAGAAATAACTGATGCAATAATAAGAAAACAAYACCTAATCCTAATCGCTCTCGACATTGAAAAGGCATATGATATGGTTTGGAAAAAAAACCTAGTGGTCGAAGCCTTATTCTTAATAAAAAAAAAGTTTATCGATTGGCGGTTTTCCATGCTTCTATAATAGTCAGTATACTGTTGTAAAAATTAAATTATGGAGAAATAAATAACACAATATTATGAAAAATATTGAATAAGCCCATCATGCTGTGTATAATTATTAATTTTAGTATATTATCTAAAAAAAAAAATGTTAGCAAAACAATAATTGTAGCACGAATATTTAGTATTTTACTATTACAGGAAGTTCCTATATGAAGTGTGTAAACACATTTAAAAGTTAAAACCCACCGTTTGATAGTATTAAATCTTCATCAAACACCACAACTGACAAGAATAATAATTAATACCATACCTACATCATATACGATGTACCATACACAAATATTGTTACACCAGCCATACAACTGATAAGACGGTTTGTATTTTGTCATGTTGATATGTACATCTGTAAAATATCCTCAATCCTCATTTATTATTATCGCACGATAAAGAATAAAAATAGTCTCAATTGTTGTGATTGGATCGTTGTGTATAATATGAGGTTGTGTAGTTGTATAATCATATTATCATGATATATCCATGCGCACCTCTACTATATCCACTAACGAACAAGTCGTCATACCTGTAGGGCTGTACGCGACATAATTAATAAAAGTGCCAAAAATTGAAAAACGGGGGGAGGAGCGTTGGACGTAGGTACRGAATGAAAATAGGACGTTTTACAGAAAGTAACACGTATAGGTAGTAAGTGCACTGTATGATTAATTAATGAAATGTTTAAAAATCAAAATTATGTAATAAAAATATTTCTTGATTTTTTATTAATACGAGTTCATCGGATGTGGATGATAGTGATTACAATGGAAGCGACAGGCTTTTTCATTTTTCATATTATTAGCATAATATGAAAAACATTTATGTTTTTAATCGYGGAACTTTCTCTTTACACTATGATGTATTAAATTTTAAACTATACATTATTTTACTATAAGGTATAAAATAAGTCTACATCGACTAACCAGCTACTATAAACATGTTATACGTACARAACCATTTTCAGAAAAATAATCAACTTAAAAATATACAGCGGGAAAAGGTTATTTTTAATTAAAAAAGAAGAAGTTTGTACTATAACCACAAAACACTCCCTAAATGAATGAATAAAATACCTAAGTATTTTATATTTTAGTCTCAAAATATATTTATTGAAATACTAAAAAACTGAAGATTTGAATAAAATGAATAAATGCACGATTAAAGGAGAAACGGGGTTTGAGCATGCTTGGTAAATTATCCTGTAAATAATTTATAATTAACATGGAGRACTTTATGTTACAACTTAAGTATGGTTAGCCATTACATAAAGATTATAGAATACAACACAAATATAAAAACATAAATATTGTTCAATATGTTTTTATAAAAATTTCAAGCATTTTATAAAAAACTAAAATGAAGTAGTTAAATAAATAAATAATAATTCATAAGTAGTCTGACAATGATACACTTTCAAAATATAATATAATAGTCTTAAAAATCTGTTAACAACTTAATAAGACCAACGATGCATATTATTTTATGAGTTAGTAGTTGCGACAGTTACTGAACAGAATTCTTTCGGAAGTTAAAATTGTTCAACTTTATTATTATTTTTTATTTATATTCTAATAACGACTTCTTTGATCAGTTCAGTAAATTGTTAATGATATTATTGGAGTAGAAAAATAAATCATAAATTATCATTTTAAAAGTWCCTATTACGTATTATATCAAAATTTAAAAAAACAGTTAGAATTTTGTTGAAAGAACTGTAGCTGATAAAAAATATTACAACATCAGCTAAATATTACTGACAAATAGTTATGGGGTTAATAGAAAACGACTTAGGTTCAATATTATTATTTTAAAATTATATATGTCATTACTCATTTGGCTCTATATTATGATATCATATATTATCATCCTTCCTAAAACTATGAATGAGTTCTGTAAAAACCTTTTTTATGGGTATAAAATGCTTATTATTTATAAATAACACAAGACCATTAGTGCATACGATTCATATATTATTTTTCTACGATACCTATAAACATCCATAAAATATGAATATTGATTAAAGATTATGAATTTTAATTTACCAACAACAACAATAATAATAATAATAATAATAATAATAATAATAATAATAGTATAATAAATAATAACAATAGAAGTTGATTTAATAAAATTAGTTGGTTATACCTTTTTGGGTTGGCCTTTTGTTGGGCATGTGTTAACATATGGTAACGTGCTACGTCTGGATGGTATCTGGTGATGTTTAAATTGTGTGCCTTGACTCGAGACGCCATGTCGTCGTCTTCGCCGCCCCATCCCCAGAACATGTTACTGAATCCGTTGACCAGCTGGAAATGCGTTCGACTCATGCCTATCACTCCACCGAATAAATCCACGTATGGCAGTCTGAATACATGGGGTTGAAATCATTATTGTCATTTTTATATTAATCATGTTATGTTTATAAAAATATATTAATTTCAATGTAATTCAGTTAAAGCAATGGAAGTATATTTCCTRATATACAACGYTCGTGTGTGTGTGTGAATATGATATATACTAGCTGAACACTTACACTTCGTAGCCCGTTAAAAGTCCTACCTCTTATATAGTTATGTTTTAAACTGTGTGTTAAAATCGTTTCCTGTGATTTTCCTAGTTAGCAGTATACTTTTATACATATAGATAGATAATGGTTAAAATATATTAAGTTTTAATTTTACAACGATATTCAATTTAGTTTATCATTWTKTAWTTTTATTCGTTTTATTAAGAATAGTCTGACAATTCAAATATTTTATTGAATGATAATTGAGCCTATCATTTTTTAATTTAGCCTATTTTCTGCCCATAGGTCTAATATATCTCTGCATAATGTATCAAATTTCATAAGAACTTTTTTTTTCTAAATTTCATTTGTAAATAAGAAAATAAATTTACTTTTCAATGAACCTAGTATTAAAATGAATCAGTACTCTACTTCACTTATATTAACTTTAAATTCCTATTACAACAACTAATTAATTAGGTATGAAAAAAAATTCCAAAATCTAAAATTCGAATTTTACACATAGAAGTATTCCAAATTATGTTTTGCTTTAGAACACTAAATAAGTATAATTACGTTGTAATTTGAAAAACTAAAAAATCTTTACTTAAATGATTTTTATGCTCTAAAAACAGTAAAATATGCATGGATAATTTGAAAAATATGCATTAAACATACAGTAATGAGGACTAAATAAAAATTCAATAAATATATGGAGAAAAATTTTCTTGTTGGTTATGTAACTTCGAGTTGTGTTTATTGTATTTTTATAGCACTCTGATAAATAGTTTTTGTGCAATGTCGATTCATTAGGTATCTCTTTTACTGGCATTAATATACTTTCCCAAAAAATCACCAAAAACGTCGTTTTTGACCTTATATATGTGATATTAGTTGAAGTTAATGCTCTAGATAATTCTAAGTTGAATTGAGATATTTTTATGTTCGATATTAACTGTTATACTTGTTAGTCATTTTTTTCCTTTTGTGTATCTACTTAATGGAAAATGACGTTTTACAGTGTTCACTGATCATATGTTAGTTATTTAACACGGAACCAACGTTGGTTACCGACCTAAACTTTGCATAGTTTTCAATAAAAGATTAAATCATTGCTATATGAAATGTCCTCTCCAAATTCTTCTACCAAACCTTTTAGTTGGTTAAAACTAGAGCTTTTTACTTTAAGNTATTTTCTGCCCATAGGTCTAATATATCTCTGCATAATGTATCAAATTTCATCGCAATCGGTCCAGCCGTTTAGGAATGCATAAAGGACAAACAGACAGAATTTCATTTTTATATATATTTCTGAAGCTTGTATTGTCATTTTCTTTCGTGCTTGCGACGTACAACTAGCGATCGATATTTTTTTGGGAAAAATAATTGCTTAGAAATGGCGTTATTATAACAAAAATCACATATAAGAGGTAGGATTTATTACGGACTAAAAAATGCACAGTTAACAATAATTCAGGGATATATATATTATGATTATATAATAACAATAATGTAATGATAGCCACTCTTCGCAACTAGGTAATACTAAAAAGAGTGTCATCATCATGTCCTCAATATAATATATTATATTATAATATGGTATTATAAAGCCACACAGATGTTTATATTATAATAAACATCTGTGGTCATATATTGTTATGTCCTTTTATACAAAATCTGTTCTATCTGTGCTCGGACGATACCCTTCGACCATCGGCTAGATATATACAACGTCACTCTCCCTTGGCGACAGGCATATGCGGTAAGCCGATTCAATATATTTTAAATGTAATTTTTCTGTGTCTTAAATAATAAATGCTCTTTTTATATATCTCTAAATTAACAGTTGTGTTGTCGATTAATATTGAAATATAAATTAATTAGTGTTGAACCTACTTCTCCTTCCTTCGTCCATTAAACACTCAAAGAGACTTCAGTCGATGTTGGGTAAGGAAATTTAATGTATAAATAATCAAACCATTATATGCATATATATATTTGCATGTGTATACATATATACATATAAGAAGGCAGTAATCTGAAGTGTATACACGATATACACAAAAGAGGTAAACACATATATATTACAATTTCACCTCTTTTTTTACATTACTAAAATAAGCAACCATCAGCAACTATTTATAAATAAACAAAAATTTCCGTCGTTATTCTAAAAATGTCTATTCCCAGGGTTGAGCACATCACTTTTCAACTTGGTCTCTATCTTCTGCCTATATAAGTCTAATATATCTCTGTACCAAAGTTCGTCGCAATCGGTCCAGTCGTTTAGGAATGCATAAAGAACAAAGAGACAGACATACATGCAGACAGAAATCAATTTATATTTTTAAAAAAAACTGGTAAGTGGGTAAAGTTTTGCTGTACATGGTGTCTGAGAGTCACAATGGCGGGTTTAAGGTAGGGTCTATGCGAACATTAGCTCCCCCCTCTTGGGACTAAGCTATTTATTTTTCTAAGACAATTATTTTGTTACACATATCAAAAATTATTATAAAATATCTTCATTGAAAAATATGGTCCCAACAGATAATAATATCATTGAACGATTTTAAAAAGTTAAGAAACTTGGAATTAATAATGTAATATAAATATTTTTTTTAAATAAACAGTTAATTTTTGTTATTACTTTTATAAATCGTTTCAGATGAAAATTGATAGGAATACCTATAACTATTTAAAATATGTTATAATTGTGAAATAAATACATAAAAAAAAAATGATTTATATATTAGCTAAAACATATTATGTTAATTAACATTTTATATAGATTATTTAAAATTCAACTACGTAAATTCTTGAGCTTCAATTAGCCCTCCCCCCTTGGTGAGTGATAAAACCTGCTACTGGAGAGTCAGAGTCGTTGTAATGGAAGTGAAAAATTTGAATTCAATAATCATTGCAGTATAATATATGTAAACGATTCGAGCGAAGACGGTTTGTCAGTCTATAATATTACTAAATAAATTGTATGATATAATTGTGATCAAAGTAATTTATTTTACTATTAGCCTATATTGTTACTGTATAAACTAAAACGATTAAATTTTCAACTTTGAGAGTGGTGCCTAATAATCTTCACTATTTTTATGTTAAAAAACCAATAAAAGCAAATATAACTTAATGAACTTCTTAACGATATTAGTCATAAAAATAGAATGATTTAATTCAAATTAATAAAATATAAAGTTTATTTTTGAAATTATTTACCTATTTTTTAAAAATAAATTAGAAATTAAGTAATTCAAATATGGAATTTTTTGTTTATGTCTAATTTGAATATTTTTTCCACAATTCATCAATATAACTAAAATGTCTTGAATGCTTTGTAATGTGGTCGGGAGAATTTTTTTACGATGATGGTTTTCTCGGAAATGATTTTGATTTCTTATAGATTATAATTATAATATATTAAGCTTATTATTTCTTATAATTTTCTATGACTCAGTAGCGTTGTCGTTAAAAATGTAAATACCTAATTAAAAATTATAACGAATATTAATAATTATGGGTTTTAACGTTTTATAATTATAAACAAAAATATAATGAGTGTCATATGTTAATGAAGCAATCGGTAGTGTAAAAGAGATAACAGGCCACTATCGCACGTGTCACTCATGTTAACCATTAAAATACGAGGTCGATATAAGCATGTAATTGTTGACAGTCATAACCTCATAACTCATATGTACCTACAAAACTTATTTTGTGACAAGAAATTTGAGTTATGTAATAAAAAAAAAATTGTTAAGAAATTTACTTTAGATCAAACATCCCAATTTTTTTCGAATCGCTGTTTGATAATTGTTCAATGATATAAATTGTCATTTAAATTGGAAAATGTGGGCTTAAATTTGAAAAATAATGGATCTCAGTTAAACTAAAATACGATAAAAATATGTTTTTTAAAAGTTTTCAGATTTTTTATCGTTTTATGTTTTATCACAACATTCGCGACGATATAGGTAAGTGCATATGTTTTTGTCAAAAAAACATGCTATCATTTCCTTTTAACTAGGTACTAAAATAAGTTCACATCACTATCACTATCTGTTTTATAATTATTTCTAAAAATACATATTAGTACAATAATTGTTAAACATGAATCTTTTATTGTATTAGAAAGTATAGTTTTGGACTTTAACCGTAGAGAGAAATATATTATTTTTACATAGATTTACGTTTTATTTTTTATCTTATTTAAATAATATTATATTAATCAAATACAAATCAAATAAAGATGTTATTGTAAATAGTAATGTTCCAATAATAATTGCTATTTACGTTCAATTAAAAATTTTCTCATTTATTACGGCACACACAATTTAAATGCTATTTTTAATTAATATTTATTGGACAATGGTTATTGCAGCTAGGCACTGAAATTAATTTAATATTGGAAGTTCAGTATAATGTTAAAACAGTTTAAAGAATTATAACATTTTTATGATAAATTTGATTGATATTTCAATATAAAGTTATTTATACTGTATTATATTAAATGATATTTAATAAATAGGTACATTTTGAAAATCTTCTCTCATCACTTACTCTTAAGAACTTTCATATATTGAAAAAATTGTCCTTTAAATATCATTGAAAATTAAGCTTTACAGGCTTTTTTGAATACAATGCATTATTATTATTTTAAAATTTATTTTCAACAATCCCGGCACTTCTAACCAATGTCAGAATTAAAGAAGCGTTATGAGTACCCATCACCCAGTGGCGTATATAGGGGGGGGGCTAGTTGGCTGCAATAACCCCTGCCGAAATTACAGTCTCAACTGTTAAATATATAGTAGCCTGCTCCGAAAATTATTTTTATATATGCTACTGCTTTCACCCATTCCATCTCTATCTTGTCCAATGGTTAGAACAGAAAAACATATAATCGTGAATTATTTATGTATAGAAGACATTACGAAGAGTAGGGAAAATTATAATTACCTTTGAAATTAGCTTATGAATGAATTATCTACGTGAATATTTCATACTGTAATGACTGTTAGTCGATAACGACCCATTCTATGTATAAATATAATAATGTATATAATTGGTTCAGTATTAATTTTAAGTTGTTATAAACAATGTTTAAGACTCTCTTAATTTTTTTTTTTCTAAATTTCATTTGTAAATAAGAAAATAAATTTACTTTTCAATGAACCTAGTATTAAAATGAATCAGTACTCTACTTCACTTATATTAACTTTAAATTCCTATTACAACAACTAATTAATTAGGTATGAAAAAAAATTCCAAAATCTAAAATTCGAATTTTACACATAGAAGTATTCCAAATTATGTTTTGCTTTAGAACACTAAATAAGTATAATTACGTTGTAATTTGAAAAACTAAAAAATCTTTACTTAAATGATTTTTATGCTCTAAAAACAGTAAAATATGCATGGATAATTTGAAAAATATGCATTAAACATACAGTAATGAGGACTAAATAAAAATTCAATAAATATATGGAGAAAAATTTTCTTGTTGGTTATGTAACTTCGAGTTGTGTTTATTGTATTTTTATAGCACTCTGATAAATAGTTTTTGTGCAATGTCGATTCATTAGGTATCTCTTTTACTGGCATTAATATACTTTCCCAAAAAATCACCAAAAACGTCGTTTTTGACCTTATATATGTGATATTAGTTGAAGTTAATGCTCTAGATAATTCTAAGTTGAATTGAGATATTTTTATGTTCGATATTAACTGTTATACTTGTTAGTCATTTTTTTCCTTTTGTGTATCTACTTAATGGAAAATGACGTTTTACAGTGTTCACTGATCATATGTTAGTTATTTAACACGGAACCAACGTTGGTTACCGACCTAAACTTTGCATAGTTTTCAATAAAAGATTAAATCATTGCTATATGAAATGTCCTCTCCAAATTCTTCTACCAAACCTTTTAGTTGGTTAAAACTAGAGCTTTTTACTTTAAGCATAACCGAAGATATAGCGAGTAGAACAAAAATATACAAATTATTTTTGAGCGATTTAATAAATCAAAATAATGTATAGCAAAACACAAAACGCGTAGTATACTCTACATTCGTTGTAAAATAGACGGCAACCAACTATAAATTATTAAACGTCCTGTYAAAATATTTGATACAATTGTAGGACATCACAGATTTAAGATAATTTTTGATTGCGACGACCATATTATAAGATGATCACAATTGATGAGGGTTATCAAAAATTCTATTTAAGTTGTACCTTAACTCCACATAACCGTATTGAATTCTCAAAAATAAATTAGTGATAATTTGTTTTGATATAATCAATGTAAAATACCGATAATCAAACTTAGATTAGGTTCAATTAAATACAATTTAAAATTTCCGTATTTTTCAGAATTTTGTATTGAAACCGTCAAATATGCGCATAAATATAGAAAAAATACAAAATACGCACTTATAAATAAAAATTGATAACATTATGTAAATATATGGAAAATAAAATGTTCATATTTTTAATATTGATATTATTAATCGCATTTCTATGGAAGCTAATTGACAATCTAAAATAAATATGCAAAATCATGAACATCCTAACCCTAATTATAACAATAAAAATAGTATAAATTGTAATTTTTTTTAATTACCTCTGGTCAGTAACAAATTGAAATCATGTAAAATAAATATTTTAAAAAGATTATTTTTTTTCACATAATTAATCGCTCTTCAATAAAACAATCATCTAGCTTATAATATGAATGACTATTAAAGCAGAGTTTTTTCATTTCCTTTCTTGACTTGGATGTATAATTATTATTCGTTTATAGTCGGATAAAAGGATTTGAAATTATTCTAATTAACTATTCAAAGAGGGTAGTAATATATTCTTTTATAAGTAATTTTGAAAACTCTATATGTTTTGGCAATTTGTCCTTCGCGTTTACCATATATTTATGCAGAACCTTTTCCTAACCATCACTATTATTTATTTTAAAAGGGCCCTACAATAAACTTTATAAACCGAGTGTGATAAATATAATAATATATAAAGCTGTGTTTTGATTATATAATTTATTTAAGATAAAACAGTAACGCAACACAATATATTTTGCATTATGTATAATGGTTAGTTTAATGGAATATGTTTATTATTTCGATAAATTATTGTTTTTTAGAAAAAAAAAAAATAGTTTTGCACTCTTACTTTAAACAGAAAATTTTGGACCAAAACTTTTTACTAACAACTTCATTATTAATATGAAACTTCATTATACAGATAGATTAGATGAATCGGGGATAAGATTAATAATGCGAAAAATATGTATGTATATACAGTTGATAGTTACAGCGATATCTATCTAGAAAAGTATTCGACTTTAGAATAGGAAATTCAAAATTAAAGGTCATCATATACAATGGTTAAAAAAATCTTAAAACAAAAATAATATTTTGTTTTAGTTACTTAAAATAATTGATTGGAAGACAATTTTTTTCAAGATAATTTATGTTCATTACTAATAAAATTACTTAGTTTCATTGGGTACAAAAATAAAACAATTAAAAAATGATATATGATTATAATTACCTGTAATTAAACTTGTCAATAGCTACTGACATGTGTCTTGGTTGGTCAGGACAACTGTATATGTTTCTGTCATTCTCTGGTATGAGGTCTACGTCATGGAAAAAGAAACAGTCAAAGTCGTGTAACTTTAATGCTTCGGTAAACCCAACGTTCATTAACATCGCCCGGTTAAACAGTCCATCGTCTAGTTGAAGAAAACATTTGAACAAATAATTAAATCATATCGATATGAATCGGTTATACAACTCTATTTATATATTTTAATATTTTGATATTATACATGTATWTCAAATATTTATCTATCCATTAAAATTAATGACTCACCGAGCTGTTCTATTATAAAAATAGTGTAATCCAACTGTTGTTTTGTTAAAAATGGATGCATATTTAAAAGAAACGAGCAGAGATTGGCTAGTCTGTTTCTATAAGGCACTATAATTGCTATTTTATATCTCGCTTGACAGTCTAAAGGCATTTGGTGTCCGCCTTCTAAAAATCTCAGCCATGATAACTGCTGAGCCACTTCTTCCAACGTATCTTGGGCAGGTACAAGCAAACGCACTGTTCCATCTATGAAAATGAAGAGAAAAAATTATTAACTTAGTACAATAGTACATATTAATATAGTCATATATAAAAATCATACAGCCGTACAGTATTGTTGATGTATAGATTAGTGTTGGATATCATAATTTATTTAATATAGGTACTATAAATTTATATTTAAAGAAAGAAACAGTCCGCGGCAGCTGTGACCATTGGACTGTAAATTAATAATTATCGTATCAAAAGGTATTAACAACGAAGATAAAATAATATGACGTTTTATTGGTGTGTTCTTTTGATACTAATTAAAGTTTTGAAGAAAACATATAGGCATATAGCATAATAAAACTATATTACTAAAATAATGTATATAATATGATATGATATAGTTTTTGCACAGTATTATTTGTTATCAATGGGTTTTTGATTAGAATAGCTAACCGATCGTTTGTCAACAAATTATATAGCTTATATAGTTCGTTGGCCCTCATTCACTTTACGGCAGTCGATTTACTTTTATTCTCAAAATTTGTTTATATATATTTTGTAGAAGTTATATTTGATATAACTATATAAGCATTTGACGTTTGAGTGTGAGGAGAAATAAACAATAATGTTTTGATGCGTTCTCTAGTACAACTTCATTTCATTCATTTAAACTTAAACATTTAAAATATTTATAAGTTATAAGTTATAAATAATCAATGTGTCGTTAAAAAATTTAATTTTTATGTACCGATATTAAAAAAAATCAAAATATTTTTATATAAAAGCAACAATAAATTATTTCCAACTATCTATTTTTTGTAATCRTACAATTACACTATGAGTTGGTAAAAAAAGTAATGAAGCTATGTTAGTTATTATTTTATAGGCACATATTTGAAAAAAAAATAGTAAGAATTCTTCCTAATCAATAATATACAAAAAACAATTATAAAAGTTATGACTAATTACTAAATACTGGTCAAACAACAATAAGCACTTAAAAGTTTCAAAGTTCAATAGTTTATTTAATGCTATGAGTTCCGTTTATTTTTACCAATTATTTCTTACTTTCCATGTATAATAATCATTTAGAACAATTTTTTCAAATTTTTTATGTAACTCAAATGTATTCAATAACACCTAGAATATTATTTGTATATATATTTTCAATATTTTTATGGCAAAAATAAAAGTTATACTGCAGTACATCACACTGTATTTATAGATTAGTATTCCATGATATGATATTAATTCGATATAGGTATGTGTAAATACAAAAATTAGAACAGTCACTGACTCTATAAGCTTTTATATAGAATGCCTTCTTGCCTATTAATGCAATATTAAAAATAATAAAATACATACATTACTTTCTTCCTCATCGAGCAAAAAATATAAATCAATCAAAACATCATATCAAGATTCCTTTCTTTTTAGTAAGTTTTATAAAAGCAAAACGCCATGGTGGATCYTTGTGGAAAAAACAWAACATTCAACTCATAAAACGACCTACTTATAATCACTTTTAATAGGTATCTGAAAACTCAAAAATGAAATACAATTATTTACAAAGCAGTCATCAGATCTGTATGATCATCATATGGAATCAAAATATGGGGTCCTTCCAGATCATTGAACATCCGAGAATACATACAAGAATTTCAGATCATAGCCTTCAGACTTATAAGTTATATGTACCATCATGGTWCATGACAAACGCTACTCTCCACAACRATCTAAAATTATAACAATCAWTAAAAACGTTACACTCAAAGTTATCAAACCACGRCAACCCTTTCATTAATAGTGTGTACCTCTCGTTACCTCAAAACATCAACCGTTGTCTTAAAATTATTGGTYCAGAAACCTATCATTATAAGAGTTTAGTATAAGAACTTCTAGTACTAATGTCTATTTGGGCCTTTTTCACGTATATCATATTTATCGAACTGCATGTTACTCATTAAAATTACTTATTGTGTATATTTAACAGATTGTAATAATGTAATATAATTATAATTTATTTAGAAGAAATKTATGAGTTGAGTAAATCGATTTTATGTGTAGGTAATTATTTATAAATGAAGTTACTTTATAATACAAGTAGTGAAGTACCTAGTTGATTTTCTTTATTAATAACGATAAATTAAATTTTTAATTATAATATATTATTTTCATTTTTAAATATTATACGTATATAGATGAATGTTTRAATAGTTTTGACTTTTAGTATTTAACTATTATCCATTCTAACAGTCCAAAACATCACAATATCTTTCTACAAATGCACACACTTCAAGTTCTACAGCTATCGTAATCCCCTGATTTCCGAGCTATCCACCAACGCTATTCCTGGTGACCCCAGAAGGCGTCTTAAACGTACCCGGTGTCATGACCTACTCATCTAAAATTGTATATACCTCTACCTCTCCTTAATCTTGTATACTCTCTCTTACTAGCACATTAAAATCCTAGCCTAACATCCTAAAACCTTAAATGCCTCCAATGGGCGGCTTCTTATCTCCTGACACTCAATAGCCATGTCACCTCTATCACATACCTATACGCTTATTGTAAAATAATATTCACAGTTTGGGAATAATATAATAATATACCTATAATATATAATATATAATATATATTTAACTATTAAGAAATATATATTTAGCTTCATAATAATTATAAAATTATAAAATCGATTTTATAAGTATTCATGAATCATGATACTTAAAATAAACTRAAACTCCAAAAGGACTTGGAGAAATGATAAACAATAACATAAAAGAGGCATAAGGAATTAAACCAAAACATTAAAGTTTTGCGTTGTGTAATGAATAAACGTCAGTATATAAGATATTATAGTAACGGATAACGGAACAGAGTTTTTAAGTAAAAGTACTAAATAGTGGTATGTTATCAAAGGAATATTATCAAAAAAATTAAACCGTGTACGTACACAGTTATAAAAAAATATCAACTTTAATTGTGAAACACAATATATACCAATTAGTATAATTTAACATTCTTAGAAATAATAAATTGTAATTATATTTTTCGTGATATTTAATAAGAGATTCTTAGTAATAAAAATTTAAAACCTATCAATTGTAAAAAGTACATAAATATCAGGTTTAAAAGAAAGTTTATAATTTAGATTTGTTAAAAATTCCAAGTATAATTTCAAATTTAAATATTATTGTATAATTTATAAATTACTTTTGTATTTTTGGAGTGTTAGCAGACTTTAAGGCTCATGGAAACTTTAAGACAAATCATATACTTTATTAAAAATTAATATCATTGTATAATAACTGGCAATATCATATTTTAACTTTTTTTTTATGTTGGGTACTTTTTGTATGATAATGCACTTTTATTAGAATTCCTAACTATACCTTTTCTTCGTTTATTTCGAATTTTCTACTATATACGTATTTTTGTTCAGCTCGTATGACAATATTAATGTATAATAAATTCTGAATCACATATTATACACTCATTCAAACAACTGATAAGATAAGTACACATAATATGCTTAACATCAGAAAAATTAAATATTATGAAATTTTTGTTTTTTAAACGTTGCGGTAGTAATTTGACATTGAATGAAAAATAAATAAAAGTTGGTGATGTCACCCAGGTTTTTTAATGGCTATTTTGAAACCCTAACATGCATTTAGAATATAAAGAAATATAAATATTCTATTAATCTTTTACTGAAGTATAAAATATAATAAATATTTATCATAAATCATAAATTTTGATAATTAATATTATCAGGTATCGTACGAAATGGATACGTTTACGGAAGTATTGCCACGTCTATAAATATATGGTTATACTTTTATTAAAATAAATTGTTAAAATTATAAAAAAATGATATAAAATAATTTTTAATAAGAACATTAAATGTAATAAAACGTTATTTTTGTATATTTTATACTTATATCTCTAAGTATTTAATTCAAGGATTTTGATTATACATGAATCACGAGTAATAAATAACAATCAAATTTATACAATAAAAATGGATTAGAAATGAAATAGAAAAATTTCAGTAATAGATAATAAGTCTTATGTCTCGTAATTAATGATATTAAGTTTAACAAAAATTGTTAGTTGAAAATGGTTTGAACTAAAATTTATAACCAAGAATAGTTTACTACCAAATATAGTAATTATAAGGTTCTAAATTTCTAGGAAATTCAACAAATTCAAAAAATATATTCATAAATTCAATCATGCATAGTCGTAATATTATATTATAGCTACTTTGAAGCATTATTTGAATCTTATACATTCGCCTGGTTATTTACCGTTGAATTTTAAATAATTTAATTTTTTTTACAAATGTGTTCAAGTACCTATATTCAATTTGTACACATATTCAAATGTTCCTTTGATTGGATTTTATGTAAAACATTATAGTAGGTAACCAAACCTAATAAGACTAAAAGTTAATTTTTTCTATTGTAATAAAGTTAAGAATTGTTATGGTTTTCAATCGCATAAATAATGCTAAACATCAGATTTGTGAATGATAGTTAATGTGCTATCTATATTTTTTATAATTTCCTAAATTAAGTGGCAAAACAGCTAGAACATTTTTTAACCATTGCATGCCTTTTATGTGTCTTAACTATATAAAAATTAAGTTTTAAATGTATCATTGCTGTGACGAATACACGAAAACAAAGTTACCTACAGTTGAGAATTTTATTATCTGACTCGTTTATTAGAATTAAAAATAAAATTGTTTTTAAAATTTATTAGTATAAATAAATTGAGAAAAAATTTATAATATAGAGTCAGTTGATACATTTTGTGAAGTTTAATTAAAACATTAGAAAAGATACRTAGATGACTGGCTGGATGTTGAGAAATAAAGGTAATAAAAAATTATAATAAAAAACAAGTATAGGTACTCTGCGCAGAGTAGGGTAACATTAAATCTGTTAATTTACTATATTTTCAACCTTTCATTTAAAGTAACTTTTATATCTATGATTAAAAAAAAAATGTTGATATATATTTTTAGGTARATAAAAATAATAAAAGTTACGTATTTAAAGCGCATACTTTAAATTAAATTGCTTAAATCATTTAAGAAAATAAAAATGTTTTGATAATGAATAAATTATGGTAAAACAATTTAAATTATTTTTYAAATTAACCTTTTTGGATTCAACGAAATATCAACGAGGATTTATGCATTTTTATTGAAAGCTAACGTTAAAAATTAGGTTCGTTGAAGAATTAAAATTTAAAATTAATCTGACTTTTTATTAAAATACAATAAGTTTAATGATATTGTAAAATATTATATACCTAAAAAGTAAAAATTAACAGTGAACAGAGAAAATAAACCAAACTAAATCGTTTATATTTACAGATAGTATTTTGCAATGTGCCCATAATATTTAAATTTAATAGTAACGACTAAAAATACGTAACAAATTATTATATTTTATATAAATTACAAACAATAAAGACAATTTCTTGGGAAATAACACTATTATCACTATATTTTAATAGACTACTTTTTTTTACTTCGTTGAACGTTTTGGTATAATTTAATCGTGTATATATTTTGTWTTCTAATCTAGGTTTTATACCTAGTCAGTTAAAAAAATAGAGAAAGTAGGTATTCGCTCTGCAGCTATACATTATTTTCAAGTGAAAAAGGGGCAACCATTTAGGGGAAAAAACAAAATATGTATGCTTTGAATTTATATACTTCTTTCATATTTGATACTATGGACGTATACTTATTACTTTCAACTGTTTCAAGAAATATCAATTTAGTATTTATACTCGTATGCTATAAATGAGTTTTGTAATTTAGTTTCATTTTGTTCCACCATGAAAATTACTCCTTTATTAAGTGTCCATCGTYAATGATTAAATCTCTGTAATACATATGTTAAATTAGAATTTAATAATAAATCATTGCATTAGTACGAAAAACTATTCTGAGCGAAATGGTCTGTTAGCATATATTACTATTATTTAGTATATTATATTATTTAAAAATTCTTATTTTTGCCGAATTTTGTTTTTTTTTTTACTAATTACTAATGAAAGTGCTGGTAGTTTTTTTACTTTTGACCCCAAAAAGATTTACTTTTCTGCCAAAAAAATGAATGGGTTAAAATATGCATTTTTTTATGCTTGACTTAATAGAGATAGTGGACAAAAAAAAATACATATAATATCCTTGTAAAATTAATACATTCATCGTTGCACTCAGTATTTAAATTAATAATATTATTAACTTACTTAAAGCAGATGGAATTTGTGGACACGGCATGAGAGGATTTTTGTCTTTTTTCTCTGTAGTTTGAAAATTATTATATAACTGTAACATAATTTTAAATAAAACCAGTGAAAAATACATGTAAGACTATCTGATCGAGTAGGTATCAAACATAGTTTTGTAATTGAATGCAACAATTTAAGTGCCCAAATAATTTTTTTTTTTTAAATAAAGTTACATTTATAAACAATAATTTTGTTTTATAAATTATTTGTGGTTTTTGAATTTTTAGTGCACAATTCGCATTTAGTATTTAACATATTTAGGTGTGGAATAATATTTCGATGTTTGTTCGTTTATTTTTAACGCTTGGGTATATCTAAATTAAAGATGCTTTTTTATTTTAAAAATAACTTGGTAAACAAAAGTGATTTTATGATTTATCTTAATCATTTAAGAATGGAAATTTTATTTTTGTAATCCAATATTTTATTTAAATGTAAAGTTTTGGTTATAAATTATATTTCAATGAAAATCATAAAAATAAAATATGATATAGAATGATGGGCGTTGCCAATGAGAGTCAGTGTTTTTAAATTGAAAGTTAATTTGATAATTGAATTTGAAAACATTGTAATACTTGTGAAAACGTGATGATGTAATGCGCAAAGTAAAAAAAAATATATATTTATGGATAAACATTATAACAATTTAATGTAATACATTTTAGTTAGTTAAAAATTTTTTTTTATCAATGAAAATATAAATTAAATGTCACACATTGTAATGTGGCTAAGGTGGGCATATATTAAACAAAATCACGATAAGTTTTCATGTTAGTACGAACACGCTCAGTGTGTTTTATTTTAATAAAAAATACTAGTAAAGTTTACAATAAATTGTTTCTATACCAGTACATTGTACACGGATATATTTTGTTTACTTACCATAGTTTGAATGCTGGAAAGATTGAGGTGAGTTATTGGCACAGGGTTAGTCGATGGGAAGTATTCTTGTGTTGTCGTTGTTATAAGATTGTCGAAGCGACGAGTTTCGTTGTAATAGCCGACATATAAAAATTGCACCAGTAAATAGGCTATACCCAGTCCGAATACAATTTTTCCACGCGAGGGTGGTAATATGGACATTATAGTTCAGTGAACATTAATAAAACCAAATGTGGTGCCTTTTTTAGCTGAAAAATAAATATAAATTTGGGTATTAACCGACAATATTCTATACCGCACATAATATTGGTGTTCTTTGGTGTATTTTTTTCAAAAATGTTATGATAAATAGTTATAGTGTGAATATTTACATAATGTGCATACAACATAGGTAATATTTTCGAGGGGTAATAGTAAAATTATCGAGTTACATATAATTTAAAAAATTTCGGTTTGATAAAACTAATACAGTCACATATTTTGTTATTTTTTTGATTCAGACTGAGGTTATTACTTTTTCAATGTCACGTTTTTCAGTTTTTTAGATTACACATTTAAAGTAAACATAATGCATAATATTATAGTAGAAAATCAAACACACATTTAAAATCCTAAAAGATTCTTTTATACAGACAAACAAAAAATTGTATTTTGTTAAAAATCTACTTGTAATTGTCTAATCTCACTTACACCAAAAACAGTGACCCACCTATGTAGCAAAGCATGGTGTGATTTATTGATTATGATGAAAGGTAGGTAGTGGTATAATATGTATTTTTTAATGGCGTACAAAAAGAAGGCTAGTGCGAGATTTAAATATTATATGACCTACAAGTTTAACCGTAAAACAAGGTTTGTTTAAGTAATGCAACATAAACACTAGACATAAATTATGATAAAATATAATTGTGGTTTAGCAGTTGACTTCAAACGGTAAGAAAATTCATAAAATAACCCGAAATCCAGACACAACTGTTTATTTTTTAAAATGTGTAGTACACTATATTAATTATTTTTGAATTTAGATATTTTTGCTATTTAGTATGATTTTGAATACGTGTTAAATATAAAGGTACCTTTTAAAAATTAATATAATGTGCATATATTTTTTTTTAAATCACTTAAGACATAATTTATAATAGACATGACAGATAATTCCAATTCGTTTTTGAGATTTAAGTTTTTTGCGGAATGATGATTAATAAGTGGTCGATAGCTTATTGTCTATTACTAATCGACACCCCATAATTTTCTTTTTCTTAAAAGTTCAATCAAAAATGTATAAATATACTATTTAATATCATAATCATAATCAAAGGTAATATTAAAAATGTTCCAACATTTACCTTATATTTTGTTTAATTAGATACTTTGAATTAATAAAAGGCTATATTTAATTTTTTAAATAAGTTGAACAATTATATTGAGTAGTTCTAAAAAATTAACGTTGAATAGGTCTCCATTAATTTTCATTCTATCTGGACTTATTATATAAGTTTATTTATAAAAATTATATTTAAATTAACTGTGGACCTTTTTATGCAATATAAAAAAAAATAATGTTTGATAAATTTATGATTATAACGGTTATAATGTTTATATCCATATTTTTTAATGAGTTTTAAAATTATTACCGTTCACTTCGTTAACTATAGCTAGGTATTTAGTGTAACAAATAAGGTTTTGAGGGAACTTATTAATGAGCACGTAAGTTTATTGACATACATAAATATGTGCATAATAAACAGCTGGTATAATAATTTCATACATGCAAAGGTATAAATCCTATGTACTTCTTGCACATTATTTGGTATCAGTTTTGAATGGTTGGTATTATGATAAATTTCCAATTCAATAAGAAAACTTTTGACTATTTCTGGATAATAAACTTAGATAATTTATTACGAGTAATAAAAACTTAGTGATCCAGAAGCAACCTGAACTCCAAAGATTCAAGTTAAAAGGAATTGATAGATTTTGAGTCGTCACAAAATTATTATCGTTTAAACTGTAATAATATCGAACGGAATGCCTTTGAGATTGATTACCAAACTCTTTTATTTCATTTCAATTCATCGTGCATTTCACGCGATAGTCTCATCAGTCGTCACTTGTTATATCGCCCCAAATAAAAAAAAATGTATTACGACAGATTAAAAATTATATATACATATTTGATTATTATAATCTCGTCCAACTTAAGCAATAAATACATATAATGTATAAATATACTTCAATATATATGTTTACAAGATAAAAAGGTGATATATTTTAAAACCATAATTATTACTTATTTATTTTGATCGAAAGAATCTTTTCATTTTTCTAAATATACATCGAAACTTCTATATAAAGAAGTCGAATAAGCAACCAAAAAAAAATTCGTAATATGGAGGAATTCGTTAGATATAGAATTACGAATTTTTTCAACTTTAAAAATAATGTAATTATGTATATACTAATATACTTCTATGTTGTATATGTTATGTAAAAAACAACATTAAATTATATATTACAGTTTAATTTAATTTTTAACCTTAAATGTAGGTAATTTAAAAGAAATACCATAATACTTTGTTCAAAATGCGTTTTCGATAATATACTTTAAGATTATTAATTATTCCTTTATATATAATTAGACCTATTATAGATAAAGTACGAGGATGAGCAGCAGTATAATTATCCACAGATAAAATTATTTTTCGTTTTTCTTGAGACATTTACGTTTCGACATTTTTTTTGTACGGACGAAGAGAAAACGAAAAAAAAATTGTATATTTACCCGTTTGCATCAATAACGGAACTGAAATACTGCACTAAAATTAATCAGTTTGCCTACCTTCCAACCTTCGATGTCTTATTTTTATCGGATAAATTGTTCATGTACAATTTTAGAAGTATGTTTAAAATTTGATAGTGATAACATTTACAAAAAAAAACAGTTTTTATTGAATAGTTTTTTCGTTATATAAAAACATCGGATTCTTTATTTAGAGATAAATTTACGAGTAATTAATAATGAAGGTCATGGTTCTAAAAAATACTTCGTTAAATAAAAAATTTTGTTAAATGGAAACTCGTTAGGTATATAGAAGGTTCACTGTATAATATATCTACCTAATATATAGTTATAATTAATAAACCTAATCAATTCACTACAGTTTTAGATTTTCTAATAAGAAGTCAAATCACTTATGATTATTTATTAATATTGTATTAAAAGTTTTTCTTACTAGTTAGTAAACTACCTACTAGGTAAATAATTAAAAGAAAAATCTTTTTAGATTACATTTGTATACTCAATATCCCATCAGTTGCCAGAGTAACTTCAAGTAACTTTAATACTGATCCTTCTAACCAATCACATATATAATAAACTAAGTAAAATCAAAAACATATTCATTAATATTTCAAGGYAAATTTAACATTCCTTGGTCCACTAAGAGTAGAATAAATTGATTTGCACTGAGGTCAGCGAGGCTATATTATGTGGTATAGAATATAACTCCCYAATCCCATTTTAGTTTTTTACTTGGAGATATTTTATATTATTGTTCTTCTTTATCAATATTAATTTTTTTTAAACGGTTCTAGTCTTCTAGAGAATATTATAGTTAAAATTAGAGGTGACCGGAAAACGTCAAACTTTTTGAATGGAATTAACGCAATTCGATCAGCAACATTGACACACTTATCCTCCCGAGTAGATTATATTCTATAAAATATAGACACTACCCGTATAAAAATTATAGCGTTTATTATAACAATATATAGTAATATGAAACTGTACAAAAATTAAAAGCACTAGTACTGTAGTATTCCTAAGCTAAATATTTGTTACCATCAATTATTATTGAAGTAGGTAAATAAATAATTAAATAGAGACAAACACGCAATTATAATGAATAGGTACTTTTAATTATCTACTCTATCTGGTTTATACTACTACACAATTACATCTTGATATATTATATTTCGTCTTGACATGATTAAAACATATTAAATTATTTTTAAATTATTAAATTGAGAATATTGTGATCAAAAAATGGTCATATTTCAATGATATACATAATACAACATGAATACACAAAATAAATACGTTCTATAAAAAGGTTAGATTATAATAACAAATTTAGTATGTAGTTATTATAAAATAATAAATATGGTTCATTATTATTAATTTTTTTCCATTAAATCAAGGATTAAAATTGAATTATTGAAAATAAATTCCCCATAGATTAGTTAATAAATTACAGTCGTTTTAGGTTCCTAAACTTGAGTTTTGAACATCTTTTATCTCTGTAATGTCCATTCCTCCGTATGTTAGCTATCAATATTGAGATTTTATAATCGAGATTCTAATGTWAATTCGTTATATTAGCCAATATTAAAAAATATCAAAATATAAGTAGGTATATGTATATTAAGTAAGTTTATTATAGATTCATTGTGTCCAATATAAAAAAATTGCTACCAAAATATAAAAGTTACCGAATAATTATTTTTAAATTATTACCTAATATGAATTCATAATATTTTTCTTTATTCCATAGCGTTGCTTAAAAATGCATTCAGRAACCAGGTATTTAGTAATAGCACACTCGATGCAGAGTGAGATTTCTTAACTTGTTTATTTGTTATCTGAGAAAGATGATGTTTGACTTTTGTAATTTAAATTTAACATTCAAAATATTATATTAAATTACGTATACAACCAGTTTGATCTTAAATTTAGTCTGAATGCTTATAAATTAAACCAAATTATTGAAAGTATAAAATCGGGTTTTGGTCAATATTCATCCTAGAATGGAATATATTTTGTAAATTCATCATGGTGGCTGCAATGTATAAATCTAAATGGATTATTATTTCTGAAGGGACATTTTTTATACATCACCAACAATTCATTATATTTTGGCATACTTTATAATATGACATAGTATGGCACATGTTAAGTATTAATTTATTACAAAACTTATTCAAAAAATGTTTTATATTTATCCTTTTACGCGAATAACTATAAAATATTTACATATTTACTTTGATAATAACATTCATAAAATATTCAACTCGTAGTTTTTGCACTTTCGGTCCAAAGCTAACAGTCAATAAGGTCGTATAATTTAATAATTCAATAAAAGTGTAGAAAGTTTTTAGATTTACTAAAAATGAAATATAAATAAAATATTAAACACTGAACATTTTATATACCATTAAATATTTTTCTCATTTATAAAAAATGTTACTT